GCTCGGACTTACCCAGCCAGGGAGTTTTCGATGTGTGCACTGCAGGGGGCGGGGCGGGACATGTGACACACACACGCCTCCTGTGACTCACCTCCCCTCCCGCCTCCTGTTACTATGGACGCGGCCGGGAGGGGAGGTGAGTCACAGGACCCGCCCCCTCACTGTGAAGCCCGTCGGCAGTGTGGGGCCCCGGTGTTCCAACACCGGGACCCTGCACTGCCCCATATTGCAGGACCGGACCGCACTGAGACTGTGCGGTTGGGGACCACTGCCTTAGAGAATGCCAGAACCAATCCTCCACCAAAAAACAGTTCATGTTGTTCCAGTTTTGATTCTTTTCCTCTGTTTGCGTCATATGGATTTTTTTTTGTGTGTGTTCCTGGAAAGCACCCTTAGTGGGAACTATACAAATTTGTGTTGTCTATACCAACAGTGCTAAGTCCACCTTATCCATGGTCCATATTCCTTCACAGGCTTTATACCGGTTTGCAGCCTTGGAATGTCCCAAGTAGGCAGACTGAATCTTGGCCAAGATGTGGGCAGTCTGCGCTACTTTACTATCTGTGGCCTGCAAGAAGGGTTTGAGCCATTCGCTATCAACATGAAGAGGGAAATTACCACCTGGTTTAGCAAAAGCCTTCCACAATTTGTGAATGTGCCTCCAGATCACGGTCACATTGAGGTATGGAAATGACACTTGGTTAAATCTTTAATATTATTAGTAAATGCCATTTCAACACCTAGCCCAAACAGTATGTTTGACTCACAGTGGCTTTCCCTGGTGTAGACTATGATTAGTCCATGCATGTACTGTAGGAACATTTGCACCTAATAAAATGGTAATAGTCTTCGCCTTCTTAAAAGAGAACTATGGCCCAACCTTTTTTGTCCATAGTTCTCTTCAGGGTCACAGGAGAACATTTACTAATGTTCTCCTGTGACCCAAAACTCAGCATTGAGTTGCCCGCTATATGCTGATAGCGCAGAGCCGTGCTGCAACCGGGTAAGATTGCGACAATATTGTCAGGATCCCCCCATTGCCTGATTGACAGCCGACTGTGCAACTCTAGAGACAGGGCCAGCTGTGCCTGCCCCCTCTCCCGTCTGTCCCTCCAGTCAGCGCTGGATAAACGGGGGGAGGGGGGGCCCCCGCAGGGTGCGGTGGATGACCGTCACTGCCCTCTGCAGGGAGAAGAACAGGAATTGAGGGATCAGCGGTATGTGATTGCTCAGTTCTCGATCAATAGAGCCGACATGTGACAGCTTCACTGTCACACATCAGCTCTAATTATTGGGATGAGTGTATTTCACTCTCCCCATAATTCTCCTTCAAGGCCTTGTGACAATAGGCAAATGTAGCTTGGAATCTGGTGCACTTGACCTCCATTTGAGATCAGTTCAGATGCATCTAAAGCCCATCTAAGTGCCTTGGCAGTTGCATTTCATCTACAACCTACTTCTTCCTAACTTACATTTGACCTCCTTATAAGCTGATTCAAGCTTCTTTTGCATTTCCATTAACTTGTATTGAGAGGAAGGCAGTGAAGTGAACCAGAGCCAGTGTACATAGGCCTTAAAAGGAATGTATCCTTTATTGTGCTTTAATGTTAATGTCATGGAAAGAACACCAAGTATTGGCTGGCTGAGCTCAGACTAGTCTACAAATGTTCTTAGAAACACCAACTCTATTGATTAACAGCCAGATTGCTAGTTCAGGCCTGCAGGGAACTTGAGGCACCCACTGGTTCTTTCCCAAGGTCTCGCGCAGTAATACCAGCCCACTGGCTTTACTGGCATCAGCAAGTTTTTTGAAGACAGGAAAAATAGTTTCTGTTGTTTTCTCTGTAATTTAAAACAGATGGAGAATCCTGGATCTCAAATGCAGAGATTGTAATGGCAGAATCTTTGAGAGATTAGTACCTTAGTATTACAAAACGCCTCCTTCCATCCAGAACTGTGTGTTTCTTTATTCACATAATAAGAAGGACACAAGATTCCACTTTCGAACTAGAACTGGGTGTGTTTATTTATTCACATAAGGGGGGCACAAGATGCCTGCCATCCTTATCTGGGTTTGTTCATTCATTCATATTATAACAGGGATAAAAGTGTCCCCCTCCCGTATAGAACTGGGTATGATTATTCAGTCACATAATAAGAAGGATACCAGCCTTCTTATTCCAATAGGGACTAGGTATATTCACTCATTCAGATAATATGAGGAATTTAGAGCAGATAGTCCTCTGACATGTATACTGACTATATTTTTGTTTCATAACCTGTTTTCAGGTTTCAAGAATTGATGGAACAGTGGACAATCCTCCTTGCCTTAAAGTGACACATAAGACCTTTGGATCTCAGAACAGCAACACTGATTTGCTTTTCTTTAGACTCAGCATGCCTGTGGAGTTCTATGAGACCTTTAAATGTACCCCAGGGGCTACACCTCTCACTCGTAGTTTTACCATACCTGAAGAAGAGGTCCAAGACGTGGACATGGACTCTGAATTTGAAGTCTTGAAGAAATCTGCAGCCCGCAAAGAAATAGAAGCAACCAATGAGAAGGAACTAGCTAAAGATCCTTCAAAGGAACCACTAAAGCCAGACAATGAGAAAGATACAACAACAGAAAAGACCAAAAAGAGAGGGTGAGCACAAGAAATAGTAACTATTAGGGATGAGCTTCATGTTTGGGCTGAACATGAGTTTGACCCGAACCCAGCCTGTTTGCAGTTGGGTGAATGGGTGAAAAAAATGGCCATATATGACCAGTTCACTCATCTGAACCCACATCTGATGTTTGTAAACAAAATAACATTCAGCTCCCATTGACTTCAATTGGGTTTGATGCTATGTTTGGGGTTAGTAGACTTTTAGCTGGATTTCAGCAAACTGAATTTTGCCCAGTTCACTAATCCTTAGTGACCACTCTAGCAACTCTCTCTGTAAAGTTTCCTTTGTCAAAGTTCTGTTTATTCATTGCTGAATGCTGCCTATTTCAGGTTTCTTTTCAAAGGCAAGAAACCGGCCTTCATCTCTTCACCTCCCGTTGTACCAACAATGCCACGTTTGATGAAAGAAGTAGTGCCAGATGACCGGGATGATCCTGAGATCATTATGAACACCACAACAGTATGGAAACTCAATATTGATGAATTGCATCATATTACTATCAATTTTATACAGCTTTTCTTAAACTTTATTTGTAGCTTTGGTGAAAACAATATGCTGTAAATGTTGATAGAGAAGATACATTCTTTTTTTATTGTTTTATTTTTAAGCTGTAATTCTATATTTTTATATATGGTACAGGTGCTCTTTAAAAGAGATTGCCAATCTAAATACAAAACAAGGTGTTATTTGAAAACGAGATGTTAAGATCAAACATAAAAATAGATGTAGCACTGCCTAAGGGCCCATTCACACCACGTCCAGATCATCTTCAGACCTGACCAGATTGTTTGCGGTCCCAAAATGCATCCTAATGTATCCCTATGCTATTTCTGGCCTCTGCTCACACCAGCGCAGTCTGTTCCAGACCAGACCAGAAAAATACTGCATGTCTCATTTTGTCTGGTCTGGAATGCACTGGAACTGCTGGCAGGTCTGGTCCGGAAAATGGTGTGAACCTGCCCTTAAAGCAGAATTCCGGGCAAATCAAATCTTAACCCTTGCAGTGGGGCTACTCCGCACTGCAAGGCTTAAGTTGCTCGTTTTGTCTAGTAAGCTAATATACCAAAGTTATACTCATCCGAACCACAACACCAGCTTGCTCTTATCCACTCTCTTCAGCCTTGCTCCCCCTTGCCCCACTCCAGCCGTCTAAGGTTGTGTGAGTAATCACATCCAATACACTCTGTTGGACGAGAGGATGCTGAGGGACTTGGCTGGAGGGAGTGGTGTAAAAGCCAGCTGGGATCATGGTCGGGCAAGTATAACTTTGGTATTTTAGCTCCCCAGACAAAAGGAGCACTTATGCCTTGCAGTGTGGGGGTAGCCCTACTACAAGTGTTCAGATTTGATTTGCCCGGAGTTCTGCTTTAAGTGGTAATTAGAAACTCCTACATAATTATCACCCTCACAATGCCTACACTGTTCAACTCTGCACCCCCTGCATCCCTCTTCCTACACTGTTCAACTCTGAACCCCTGTATCCCTCTTCCTAAACTGCTCACCTCTGTACCTCCTTGCATCCCTGTTCCTACACTGTTCAACTCTGCACCCCCTGCATCCTTCTTTTGGGTCGCAACCCATTAGCTGAGAAACAGGGGTCTAAAGTATCTTTGTATGTTGTAGCATTAACAGTACCCTTCATTGGAAACATCTGAGGCTCAGATTCTGAGCTCAGTGATTCAGAGGCCATAATACTTTTGGCCATATATTGTAAGTGTGATGGTCAGCTGTCCTGAAACTTTTGTCCATATCGCATATCTCCTCATTTATAAGACTGGTTTAAATAATGCAGCAGACAGTTAACTATTGCTATAGTTAGTTACTACCCACAAATGACCCAGCGCACTTTGCCATCAGTTGTAAAGTGAAAAGTGTAATGGTTTATCACAAATGAGATGATTGCTCAAAGCCATGGTAAATTTGGGTACTCTAATCCTCCCGGCACAAGTCCATGTCTTACCTTTTATTGGTATGTTTTGTCTTCTCTTCAGTATTATTACTCAGTGAGAATCTTCGCTGGACAGGAGCCCACTGGGGTGTGGATAGGATGGGTGACTCCTGACTACCATCTGTATGATATGAACTTCGACCTGAACAAAGTCCGCAATGCCACCATCACTATGGGTGATGATAAAGGAAACATCTTTAACAGGTGAGATAACAAGAAGGACTGAGGAGACAGAAGAAAAATGTGTATTTTGGGGATATAAAAACTAGGAATCAGCTGACCATAACAAAAAAGACATATAATATGTCTTGTCAGTGCTGGTTTGACTTGTGGAATGTTCTGTAAAATGTGGATCCTGTCAAGCATGGGAAGATTGCGCAGGTGAGTGAAGAGCACCATGCATGGAAAGAATGTCTTGAAAACTCTAGCTGGTTACAGAATAATGATCACTTTATTAATGTATGACATAAAACATGGCCAATGCGTTTTGGGAAATTGCAGCTACCCATTCTTTTGGGTGTTGGTAGTGTTAGATCTGTTGACTGTGGGCACTGCAGTCTGTGTCCTAATATGATATTAGCAGAGGTGCACCGAAATGAAAATTTCAAAACCAAAATGAAAAAAAAATGTCAGGCTGAAACCGAAACTGAAAATGTTTTTTATTCTAACTTTTTCAAAAAAAATTTAACATTTTATTTTTTATAAACTTTTAAATGTTTTTTTATTTGTATTTATTTATTTAATCATTTTTACAAAATATTTTAAAACATTTCTGTATTTTTAGGGGCTTTGGAGAAATATTGGGGGCCTAAAAAGACCCCTGATATTTCTCTTTTAAAATATAAAAAGAGATTGAGGACTCTGTGTCCTCAATCTCTTTTTCTGCAGCCCCTGTTATAAATGAACAGGAATCCTTTATACTGAGTGTTCCTGTTCATTCATATATTGTGCACAGAGTATGTTTACTATAACCACAATCATGAATGAATAGGAGGTGATCTAGATCACTTCCCATTCATTCATAATTGAGGATATAGTAAAAATACTCTGTCCTTAATTATTTACAAACACTCAGGGATCACTGATCATTGAGTGCTAGTATCCGCTCTCCATCCTGGATTGGCTAGCACAGGATGCTGAGCGAGTGGAGCTCAGCCTGCTGTGACAGCACTGGCTGTCTCCGCCCACACCGCTCTCCCGATCTGTGACAGGAGGCTGAGCGGTGTGGGGAGGAGAGACTCCGGCTGCTCACAGCGCTCTCCTGCCGCAGAGTTCGGCCACCTGTGACAGTTTCTCTTCTCCCCGCTGGGACACAGAGCAGTGCCCAGCAGGGAGGAGAGACAGAATGGATGTACTGCTATATCGGCACGAAAATGGCACTTTCTGCATTTTCCCAAAAGTGCCATTTTCGGCCGATATGTTTCGGCGGCCGATATATCGGTGTATCCCTAGATATTAGTGTTCCAGAATATGTGCTGTGTATGCAGTGGTACATTAATAAAGAGTCTGACCTTTTGTTCATTTTAACTTCCCATAGACTGTGAACAGCATAGTATACCTGCTTTAATGGAGAACGGTGGGATGTCTCTCTAGGTTTTCTAACTCGTAATCTTTTAACCTTAGAACTCATGTATTGTACTCTGTGTTGTACTGTCACTTTACCCCATACATTCACAGTTGTGCCAGAATTGTATTGCACAGTCTGTCAAACTTTGAACTGTTTTTTTTTTAAATGCAAAATTGTCTAATTTGTTTAACCAGTAAATATTTTATGCCTTTTTCAGCATTAAACGCAGTAACTGTTATATGGTTTGGGGTGGAGAATTCAGCAACAACACTCAGCAGGCTCGTGTCCGTAAGGAAGACCTTGTGATCGGTTGCTTAATTGATCTGGAAACTGGACTCATGACCTTCACAGCCAATGGGAAGGAGGTGAACACATTCTTCCAGGTACGTGTGATCCCAGACATATATCTCCCGCAAGTGTTTGGAGTTATTGATGGATACATTTTTTTTCAGGTTGACATCCTAAGATAGTCCAGCACTACTGTGACAGTTTCTACCCCACTAGCCCAACTACACTCAGTCATGACTACTGCAACTTAATACTATGTAATTCTGTACAACTGTAATACTCTGTACGCTCATGGCTGGAACCTTGCCTCTATTAGTTCTTCCACATTGTCCACAGGATACGCTTAAAAATCCTATTCTGATGTGAAATGAAAAAGTTCATAGAATTCCATAAAAGCAATTTAACCAAATAAGCCGCCTATTTTTCAACATGGTCCCCCTGGGCTTAACTGCATTTGGCACACCAATGCTCCAAGGCACAGATCTTGTTTAAAAGGTATAAAAAAAAAAACAGAAACACAATGTAATATATTGCAGCCTACCAGTCCTCAAATATGTTGGCTGCATTAGTTTTCTCTCTTTTAAGCTTTTTTGTCTTTATATCCACGTGGTGATTCTGCCAGTAACACTCTTCCTGTCTTCGAATGACAACACTCACTCTTATGTATCAGGACAACAGGAACAAAATGGGACTGCTGTTCTATTACTGACCATATTATAGAGGAAGTGGTTCTGTAGTCCTCAGAGCTAATTAAGAGCAATGTAACTTATAATAGTCAGCACAGACAGAGAGCATTGGAAGTAATCAGTGCACAGCATTTCTGGCAAAATCTTAATTTTAACTTATAAAACAGATATAACAAAATACTTTCCATGTTATTTTCAACAGAAGAAAAGGGAGCAAATAAGAGAAGTTCATTGTTGGTGTTTAGATACGCTTAAAAAAAAAAAGGTTTTCCAACCATGAAAACAGTACCTTCTGTCATCAGAAAATGTATTTTTCCATTCTGCTATGAAACTTCTGGGTATTTAATGTACCCATCCCAAATGTATTTACACGGAAGCCTTTAACAGATCAATGCTATACAATAGCATTTGGAATACAGTCTGATAGGGGATTGCCATGCATTGTGTATAACAACTATATACACAAATTAAATACATATATAAGGTTTGTTTTACCTGCAAAATCATTTTTATTTCTGTCAGTTTGTTCCTGAGATTTGCACAGTCCTGCTACACAGCCAGCCTGGGGAACTGACTTTTCTACAAACCCAATTTAGTAATACAACTACGGTAGTAGTGTCCTTCCCCTAGCCTATAACTGGACAGTGAAGGGAAACCAGCGAACTGATGAGCTCATCTCTTGTCAGCATGTTCCTTGTTAGCACATGAGCAGTGCACCACAACTGACTGGCTCTTTGTGCTGCTTCTTTCTCTCCCAATCTGAGCTCTTCTGTGCAGGGTATTGAAAGAGGCTGATACCAAGTAAAATGCAGGTACTTACACTATTTACTTTTAAAAAAATCCCCCTAACTATTTTAATGAACACATACCTCCATTCACACTTCAGACATGTGGTGCAAATGTTGCATTTTTGAATATGCATTCACATTCGATGAGGCACCCCATTTATCTTGAACTTTGAACAGGCTTGAAAAGGCCCCACAACACAGCCAAAAAGAAACATGCACCTATCTTTTCAACACAGCACCCCACAATGCACTGCATGGGGTGTACCCCCATTGCAGGTGTGCTGCCCACCTATGTATGAATTCACTCTTGTTTTTGGTTTTAATCTTCATCCAATTAAATTGATGGTAATGACTTCTTTCCGGCGTTGTGGTCTAAGCTCTTTAAGTCTAAGTCTTCATCTTCCCTCTATCTATCTTACTAGGTTGAGCCCAATACTAAGCTCTTTCCATCTGTTTTTGTTAATCCTTTGAGCCAGACGTTATTCCAGTTTGAACTTGGAAAATTGAAGGTAATTACAAAGAAATCCTTATTAATGTTCTGTAAACCAAACTATTTTGTAGCTGAATGTATTTTATTGTCATAGCCCCAAATTAATTACTTTGTCTCTTTGCAGAACATCATGCCTATCTCTGCTGCCATGTTCCGCAGTGAAAGCAAGAACCCAGTGCCGCAGTGCCCACCGCGTCTTGATATCCAAATGTTGACACCTGTGGTATGGAGCCGTGTGCCAAATGATTTCCTAATGGTGGAATCATCAAAGGTCAGCGACAGGCAAGGCTGGATGGTAGAGTGTGTAGACCCACTGATGATGATGGCTCTTCATATTCCTGAAGAGAACAGGTAACAACTCAGCTGTGCATTGAACCTACCATGCTGTGAATTTAGATTTATCTGCCTGGTAGTCATGGATACAAAAATGTCAAACCAACTTTGCATGTTTCAGTCAGGTAACCAAATTGTAAGGTGTTGTTTTCTGAGGCAATCTGATAGTTGAACTGTTTTTGATTGTGACATAGAACAAAATATTTGCATTTCAGGGTAACAAGCATAAGTATACCCATAGCAGAATGGCCATGGTTGGGGATATAGGCAAGTATAAATATTGAGTAGTAGTCACAAAGGTTTTGTGTGAGGTGAAGGCAGGGGAGGACTGTGATGTGTAGAGAGGAAACAGAGGGTTGATGGTAACAGAGAGATGTGTGTGAGTGGTTGGTAGTCAGCAGACACTTAATGGTGAAGGTGTCATAAGTGCCAAAAATGTGCAGATTCCATTAAACAGAAGATAGAAGTTTGCTTGTCCCCCCCCCCCCCCATAAATCCCTTT